CCAAACAAGGTTGAACAAGTCTGTCGTGTGGACAACGGGGGTGCCTCATGTTCTCCACCAGGGACAGACAAGAGCGCACGATGGGTCGACATGTTGGTATTGTGGGGTGGGGGGGGGGTCTCATTTGGACCTCTTGTGACCTCGATAACAAGTCCAACGACTCAGAGTTCATCCTATAGACTGCCTTCACCAACAATGACAATCCCAAACCCCGTGTCGCCTCCTGTATCCCCCATCACACACATGCCCCTTACTGCCCCAAAAAGCTCGCTGCCACCTCCACGGATATCCACCTTAGCATGTCACCTATCTGCCCCAAGGAGGTCCTCGGCATGGCCAAATTAGTCATTGTTGAAACCTCGACACCTCAGCCAATGCCTTCCTCCTAGCCCTCGCTTCCGCATTTGCTTTTCTCGTCGGGCAGTCTCACCGCATCTTGCTCTCCCTCGATGAGGTCCCATCCTGGACTTGTGTTCACGTTCGTTGAGCTCACATTTCGCCTCTCCCAGCCTCCACTCCCATCCTTCGACTACCCAATCACGCTTCAACGATATGTGATTGTGAGTTGCTTGAACCTACTTCCTGTGGCCAAGAAGGAGGTGATCCTCTCCCAAGCACGATTCCTCCTAGGATGCGCCACTAAGTAGTTGCTCACCATTGTCCTGCACTCGCTGGCGCTAGTCGCTAGACTGATCTCCCTGGCCATTTTTTAAATATTGAACATTCTTTAAGTGTTACAAACATTTTTTAAAAATCATATTTTTTGAATGATACTAAAATTTTCCAAAATTATGCGAACAATCTTTTGTATTATATTTAAATGTCACAAACATGTTCTTTTAAACATGTGAGCATTTTTTAAATGACTATTTTTTTAAGTTTACATTACATGAATATTTTTTTCAATGAGTGGTGAACTTTTAAATGTCACAAACATATAGGATATTTTTAAATATAAAAAACAAAAAAGGAATTAAACAAAGGAACTGGTTCCTGCTAGACCGTCTCACTATGGGGTCCCTTGAGGTGAGGCAAAACAAGCAGCATAGAGTTTTCACTTTCTCTATCGAGTTATGATGAGATAGTAGACCTGAATTACTATGATAAAAGTAATAATATGTGAAGGAACTTGCACGGGATTAGTGGTGATTGGTAGAACCACAACGCCATGACGAGCATTGAAGACGGTGAACCGACTGAACTTGTTAGCAGGGCCACATGCCAGTGCACCAGCGCTCGTACAGGTCTCAGAATGACTCCTCCAAGCGATGGCAGAGCTATGTACGTTGCTGCAGGGCCATGCCCCCCCCCCTCCCCCCAAGCTTTGATGAAAATCGGGGAGAGATTTTTGGGGACTGCTTAGATTAGAGAAAATATAACCTTTGTCCCCCCCTCCCCCCCCTCGATCCCCTCCCCAAACATACATATTTTTGTTTGCCCCCCCTACCCTAAAAATCTTTTCTAGCTCTACCACTGCCTCTGAGTCGAGGTCTTCATCAAGAAACACCATGCTGCCCGCTGGCGCAGCTGTGACCAGGAGTATCGCGGGCACTGCTCTGGCCATGTGCAACAACAGCCCTTGGAGTGGGGCATGATCGAAAGACGTCGGAAGGGAGAGGGCGTTGGGGGTATGGGAGGAGGTCGGGAGTGTGGTGTTGTGCCTGTGAACTAGAGCGCGTGCATGTAAGAAGGAGCGTTGTGGCAGAATAGAAAATACGGCTCCTATTGGAGGAAAAGGTGGCAGGTGATACGTCCATTTTGCATTATGTTTTCAGTTAGTGGAGACCTGTACAAGCGCTGGTGGAGATCTGTACGAGCGCTGGTCGGGAAGGGATTTTTGGGACTGCTTAGGCTGGTCATAGTGGTGAGTAACTTAGACTAGTAACATGCATATGTTACTAGTTTATGTTACTACCTCTATAGTGCATAGTATCTTAGATTAGTATCATAGGTGGTCTCATTTATTGCCATGCATGACACATAGTAGCATCACATTTATTATGTTACGGTATCTACGAACTCTTGGATTAGTATCATAGGTGGTCCTACTATTATTTATGATATTTTTTACATTATAATACTTTGTGATGCAATTCTATTGTCTTTTCTCTCTTAATTTGCAAGATTTACATGAAGAGGGAGATTGCCGGCAGCTGAAATTCTGGACCTGGAAAACCTATATGAGAGATACCTATTCTGCACAACTCTAAAGGAGCTAAAATTTCACGGAGAATTTTTATGAAATATATGAAAATACTGGGGCAAAGAAGTACCATAGGGGACCCACTAGCTGCCCACAAGGCACTAGGGCACGGCCACCCCCCTAGGCGCGTGCTAGTGCCTTGTGGGCCCATTGGCAGGCCTCCAGCCCCCATCTTCTACTAATTAAGGGTTTTTGCCTGAAAAAAAATTAAGAGAGGACTATCGGGACGAAGGGCTGTGATTGGAGTATTAGAAGAAATGGCAGAAAGGTGCTTCCGATGCGATGAAGACTGAGCTTTGCGTTTAATGACTTGCTGTAGCGGCCTCGGCAAGTGATGGTGGAACACTGCATGATTGCTGTCTTGGTGATGCTCCTCGAGTACTGAGTCTCGGTTCTGTGGGTGAAAACCCAAGGTCTGGTCTTCATCGGATGTGCCTAGCAATGATCTTGTTGAAGGCATTGTTTTCAGAAGTCGGACTTTCTCTAGGGTGAAAAATCTAAGATCATTGATCGGGCAACAATAGTGCTTGTGCTCTGTTCCCTTCTTGGAGGCGTCGTCTTTTGAGGACCTCTTTTGCGGTCCGGGTGCTGTCTTTGGTGGTGCTTAGTGTGTTGCTGCAGTGAGTGACTGATCACTGTGGCGAGCTTTTTTCTTTTTCTTTTTTCTCTTTTTTGAGGTGTGCATACTCAATATCTAGTTGGACATTTTGTTGATGCAGAGGCTGGGTATAATTATTCCCTTTCTAAAAAAACCAGGCGATGTTGCCGCGACACCACTAGGCCCACCGCCCAGACCTTATGCTGGCATGTTAAGAAAAGAAAAGGAATGTTTACACTTTTCGATGAACATAATGCTTTAGAGATAGGTGTTCTTGCAACAAAGTACATGCACCGATCTCATCAGACAGGATATTGTTTTTGATTCGTCAACTATTCATTTCACGCTTAGGAATTGTATCACTAATCATTATGTAGTCTAATATGAATATATGATACAAGAATATCAATTACTTAATCTGCTGCACTGCACAAATGGATGGCTTGTTCATCAACAATGTGAAATCAACAAGACATGGAGGATACATAGCTTGGAACTTTAGGAAGAACGGGTTGTTCACGGTAAGATTAGCCTATCACCTGAGGATGGCATTGAACGGGGTGAAGTCCG